TGCAGAGTCGATTTTGCACTTTTGTGGCGCAATTCTGTGGAGTGCACAGCTCCAGGTATTCCGCGGCTTTACAGCTGTGGCTGCGGAGTTAAACGAAAAGAAGAAGCCTCGTATAAGGATATGTTATGACGCAGGGTCTATAATCCTTAAGGAACCCAACCAGGGCGATAAAGACATGGCTCTTAAGAACGTGTAACCTCACCGAGGGACGAGAACCATGAATCCTAGTTCCATTCAGTTCTATTCGAAACGCGGCATGATGCGCAACTCAACGAAAATGTTAAAATCGAATTGTCGAGTAATTTCCTCTCCTAATGCACTGGCCACGTTGCCTCGGAAACGGGCACGGATGTTGAAGGCGCCGCAAAAACTGCCGAATCCTCTATCTCGGAGACGGAAGCTAGGGAGGACAACTCACCGTAGCGAGCATGAAAGCATGGCTGGACCCGACCGTCGGAAATCTCGTTGTTGTTGCTTTTCTCATCCAAAAGCAACTGCGTTCTATATGAGCGATATATCTTCGCCACTCTCTGAATTGAAAAATGAATTAATACTTTTTCAGAAGCAACATATTTTGTACGGTGTTTGTCTGAATCTTGACAGTAAAGTGTAAGTAGAAACTTACGATGTACGTGTATAAGAATAAGTTGTTTATTTTGAAAAACATGGAATTTTTTCTTACATTTTAGAAATTGTATTTTTGAAATAAAAAAAAGATATAAGACTATTGATGTACGGCTGTTGATGTATTTATGATATGTCGAACTAAATACGCAGTAAAAAACATTTTATATTTTAAAACCGATTCTTGTGAAAATTTTTCTTGTTGAATTTTTAACATATTCAAAGTGTTAATTTAGCATAATATGATACTGATAGTGATATTTGAATATTTTGCGTTAAATTGATATTCAATGTTTTTTAGTATTAAAATAACACAATTTATGAGTAAATGAATAAATAATATAAAAACAATATGTTTCAAAATGTAAATTTTAAAATAAATGAATAAAATGTGTTAATTTCACATATTACAAATACTAATTTTATTGAAGAAATGTGCTTATGTCAACACTTTTTTGTTTTAATTTTTTATATAATATTTATGTTATTTCCTAACATATTTATCTTATGTTAAATTAACACAAAAATTTAAACGGGCACATGCTAAATTTAACATAAATTCTAATTGATATATCGACATTGAAGTAATGCACTTCTAATTTATTAGCTCCATTTATTTCTAATGAATTTTTTTCTCTGTTTTTTATATCAAATTAATTTATCGATATCGATCGCCACGGCAACAGGTTCAATGTCAATAGCACATATCGTCCTCTTCCTCGAAATGTCTATAATGATGATGAAAGAACTGTTATATAAATAAGAGCGGTTGATCGAAATCGTAGGCGGTGGTCGGCACAAATAATGGCGCGACGATAAAAAAATTAACCGAGACATCCTGGGCGATATTTATGTATCTGTAGTAGTTTGAAATCTCGGTTGGAGGCTCAGGAACAAGTTTTCGACTACTTTTTGGCATCATGCCAAAATATCGCCGCCGGTTCGTTTGGCAGTGCTCTCGCGCCGCAAGAAATCCTCAATTTTGGAGATTTTTATCGGTTATAATTACAGCGCATCTCAACACTTGAAATCGCATTTCCGCTCATGAAAAGCTTTCATAGTCAATTCGATTCGCATTTAATCATCGCTTAAAATTTGTTTATTTTTGATGTAAGACGAGATTCACACGAACTTAACACTTTAATTGCCGTATATCTATGGCAGATTTATTTTTATCGATGTTCAATTTAGAAATAATATAATTATAAATAACTGTCACTCGTAAAATGATTTATTCACTTGTTTAAAAACGATTTTATTAAATATTCGAGTCAGTAAAAATTATTGTAAATTATTATACATTTTTATACATATATATATATATATACATTTTTAAGATATTAAAAATAACAATTTATTAAACAAAGAAATTATTAACTTCTTTATTTTTATCTATTTCAAATATATAAAATAAATGTAAGATAAAATTTAATTTTTTACAAATGTGACAGTATTATTTATGTTTCATCTGAAACTATTAAATACATTTATTAATATATATTAAATAATATATTAAAATAATATATTAAATACAAAATAATCTAACATATATATTTTTTCTATTTATTTTTTTAACTCTTATTTACTTTTATTTTTTTTTTTTGTATGATGTATATTTTGTATTGTGATTTTATTTTCTGATTCTACATACTTATTTTAGAAACAGTCGCGCATTTCTCGACTGTCAGTCTCCGAGAGCTCAATGTCGAAATCAACTTGATAGTCAAAGTGTTAACTAGTCACGAGCCGAAAACGCTTTCCGACGTGCCCGACGCGCGCATTTCCGAAACAGATACCCGATCGCGTTGTTGTCCCGCGAAACTATGGCGATGAATATTGATGAGCGGTCTACAGTGAAATGGTCGAATCAGCGGGCGTAACGATTGGAAGGTTAATTGAGAGTAATGCTCGTCTTTTTCCAGTCGGGGAAACAGACCGTTAATCTCCACAGAAAATTTGCGCGGCTGTAACGTCGAATTTTCGACTTTTTCGTGGTTTTGGAGGATATTCCCTAATGGCTTTCAGGATGAGGTGAACGAATTGCTTTTTTTGCGAGTATCCTCTGAGGTGTTTTCTTTTAAAACAGAGGAGGAAGAAAACGAGGAAGGATGAGGTTGGAAGCCTTCACTTAAAATTTTCTTAGGTAAGTTCGGCACTGAAAAAGCGTGCGCGATCATTTATTGCGCGCACGTAAATAACCTTTCAACTTATATTGGAAGAAAAGAAAATTGCGTGCAGTTTAAGTTACCAATATGTTCTTCGCGCGCTTGTAAAAAATCTCGATCCTCATACAAAAAATAAAAATATTTTGAACTTGTGTTAAAACCGATCATTGTTAAGATCTTTATATTGAATTTTTAACATACCCGTAAATTTAACATAATTATATTATTTGACTTTAAATTAACACTTATATTTTTTTATTATTAAATTATTATTTTTGTTGTGTACTTATTCATAAATTGTATTATTAAAATAATACAATTTATGAATAAGTACACAACAAAAATAATAATTTTTAAATATAAATTTTGAGATAAATGTAAAAAATGTATCTGTTAATTTAACATATTATAAATTTTATTGAAAAAATATGTTTTCACAATTTGTTTTCAAAGTATTACATTTTTGCATATTATTTTTTACATAATGTTTGTGCTAACGTACATTATGTATTTTTACATATTTTTACATAATGTATTTTCTAACATATTTGTTTTGTAACGCAAAAATTTAAATGGACGTTTAAAACACGCGAAATGTGTTAAATTTAATACAAATTTTCCAATTGTGTATATTAAACCAACAAATTAAATAAAGTTGATTCAAAGACCAAGTACTTCTCCGTTTAATAAAAATAGTTAGAAAAATAATTATCACAAAGAATTAATGTTTAATAATATCCCTTAATTTCTTGTTTGTTTAAATAGTTTAATAGTTTCGTTGGAAACAATTATCCAGATAATACATGTCTAAAAGACATCATAGATGCATTATAAACGTCTTTTAGACATGTGTCTTATCTGGACGGCTGATAATGATTGTAGATAATAGATGACGCACGCGCTAACGACGTATTGAAGCATGCGCGCTCTTGACCGTTCGATAATGCATCTCACTGAAAATAATGCAATCACTTTCTATGCCGATATTACGTAAACATGGAATAATTTTATTGGAAGATATTATACTGATAATGGTGCCGCTTTTTCCTCCCCGGTATCTCCTATTTCAATGCATCTAGCTCGCACTTTTCTCTTATCTAGTAAAATGTTATCAATACAGAAAACTATTTTCAGATCTATTTTTCGTTACTACTAGCTCGTTTTCGTTTCACTGTTGAAAAAATGCTTGTTGTGACATCAGTAATTTTATTCCGTCTCCAATCTCAAAAAGGTCTAGAAACGAACTATGCGGTTGTGACAAAGAAATACTGTATTAAAGTTATAGAGATTAGAGAAAGATTTTCATTAATTATTATGATTCATTATAAATACGATTTTATATTAACCCTAGAATAATCATATCTATTATCATATATAATAATCATTCAAATGTGAATTATAAAATATATATTGTTTAATATATTTTCTTTCTTTTTTAATAAATTATTCTTTACGAAATAGAAACAGAAAAATTGAGATAAGTAGGTCGTCTATGTGGGAGAATTACGGGTCCAATAAAATAATCTCCCATAATCCTATTCAATCTTAATGTTTGATTGATGTTAACTTTCTAATTCCTGATGAAATTTTTCGGTATAAAGTATGTATGGAAATTGAATCAGAACATTCAGAACGCTGTTTGTAACACTGAGATAAATCTTTACGTCGACATGAAACCAATGAATCAGTTATGCTAGTAACATACCAAATTATTTATATCTTAGAAACGGTTTTCTTGAAATTAAGTTTTTCGATCTATGTTCATTAAGACTTTTTTATTTAGTATGGTATCTATCATGTAAATGCTAAATTGTTTTTTTAACCCTATATATTAATTTGATTTTTATTTACATTTTTCAGAAAAATTATAAATAAATCCGTGTCCACAATGTTTCCAAATATTAATAAATCAAAAAAACAATCAATAATATACAATATATTATTAATAATAGTGATTTGTAATTGTAGGATATAAAAACAATCCAGATTATCGTTTATGTGAAAAAAAATTAGATAACTACTCTTGAATTAATATTATAATTTAATAATATTAAATTATAAGATTTAATTGCTATACTTAATAGTTTAATTATGTTTATCAGAATTTAATGATTCTGCGACAATTTTGATCTGGATTCTGGAAATATTTAGTGAAGTTAGTAGATCTAGAAAACTAGAAACGAATAATGATAGACAGATAGATGATCTCACCTCTCATGTAGACATAAGCAGTGCCGCGCATATTTCTTCTCGTGAGAACGATGAGATTCAAGATATTTCCGATGATGCCGAGACAACAAATGGTCGGCAACACGATACCGTAACTGACTCTTCTCAAAGTCGGTGTTCGAGGATCCTCCTGCTTGTCCAGATCTTCCGGTAGCAGGCAGATATTCTCGATCTTGCTTATATTGAGCAGGTCCGTCATCTTGCCTTTCTCTTGCTCTCTTTCTCTCTCACTTCAACGCCTTTCACAATTCGCAATAAATTTCCCCGTTCCATCGCGCCCACAGATCCATCTTCGAATTCGCTCACTCAACTGCCGTGTATTCATCTCGACACGCGTTTCCGATCGATTAGTAATTAATTAGTAGAGCAATCGCATTTTTCCGAGATGTTCGAGCGAGATGGTAGCTGACGACACGATCTGAATTTACGAACGAGATTAGTAAAGTTAGGAACGATACGCACAAACCTTTTCGAACCACATCCGAATCAGACCGTTGCGATTCGATGACACGATTCACAAGAGAACAAGTTTCACACGCCGGTCAAGAGCGCGCACATTCATAAAAAATGTCATGCAACAGGTGCGACGAAAGTTTCATTTTACCATGGAAGCGTCGAGAGAGAATTGAGAATTTAGAAGTCTAAGCCAAGTCCGCCGGCTCGAATAAGCGGCTTTACCACTTACGATATCCGCGGTTGCTTATTTCACCGAGGAATCCGAACGTGTTCTTCCTGACAATTTGTACGCCGCCATCGTGCGGCAGCTGCGCCGTTCCACGCTATCCTGAAAACAAACAAGTCGTTCGTGTGTATTCCGCAAATCCGATACATTCTACCGCAGCGAGTATTTATTTCCTCATACTCCATTCGGGGGATTTTAACCACAAGCGCACGCGCGTTGAAAAACAGAAAGGTATGCACAAAAAGAACGATTTTATTCAAATTTTTAAAAATTTAGCTTAATTATTTTTTGGTAGCATCAAAATAATTATATAGGACGCTCATTGATAGAATGTCAAAATTTTTTAGCATCGTTCATCATGCTTCCAATAAAATTATTTGATGGTGATCCAACAAAAATATTTTCAGTATATCTGTATATCTGTTCAAGTTTTTAAAGTAAATAGTTTTTCAGTAAAATTATTCTTTCCGTATAAAAACTTGGAGCTAACGCAATTAACAGTACTTGAATTATTGTGAATATTTAACAATAACTAATACGTACAAAAAATTGTACACATCGCAATTTGAGTCTTCAATACATATTAAAATATGAAATAGTCGTAAAGTTCTGATTTTGTATCTTCTATCTATATAATCCAAGTAAGAGTCAAATGAATAAAATAATCAAAATCGTCATCTTAAATTGTTAAACTAATTCTGGATTAAATCCAAAACTAATGCCAAAATCTGT